CTATAACAAGGGTGACCGTTGCGGAGAACTAGCCATTTTCGGAGGTGGTGTTATACCTTTCCCTTTCTCTATTTCGGTGGAACAAATAGATGAAACACAAAGATAATGATTGTGTGTAAGCCTACAAATTTTTTCAGTCAAATTGACAACCTTCCCTGTCACCAAAGTTGAGCATTGGCTCGGGGTAAGCGAATGAGAGGAAATAGAAAAACAATTATCAATAGTAAAGAGATTAACTTCCCCATTTGAAAGGGGTATAATATTATCGGGAGAGGGGTACAGAAGGATGGTAAGGTTATGGGTTGGAGTTGATTGCTTTTAATAGGACTAGCATTTGAAATTTGAACTCCCTAACTAAACAAATGACAATTTGGACAATATTGATAATTATGAAATTTAACTGGTATATGGGTAACCGAAACCGAAAACGAAAACAAAATCAAAATTTATTGCTCATATTCTGTGATTTGTTAAGGCAGTCAAAGATAACATTAAAAAATGAATGATAAAATTGCTAAAAGCACATGATTACTCTTAATAAAGTATACATGGAAGCTATTTTTTTTGTTGCTGTTTCTTCTCAAGTATGGAAGCTATTATTTTGACCAATCTATTTATGAATGTCATTAGGACGTAGTATTAATCCAATCCCCTCTTTGGACAGCTTACTTGTGAAAAGTGTTTGATTGACTTTGTTATTGAGAATGGTGGTAATCAAAGTAAAAGCAAGCGGTTGTATTATTCTCCTTGGAAGAAGGAGACGTTGATTTCTCTAACATTAATAATCACTCTTCTCCTTCCTCCTCTCATCCACTTGTCCGAGTCCAATGCTCCTCTATGGCAAAAATAGAAAGGAGCCAACTTGATAGAAAGAAATAACATGTGAATATATATATATAGGAAATTATGTCCTATTTGTTTCATCTCCTTGATCTAATCCTTAAAATGCTGTTGCCTCCTCCCCCTTCCTACTGTTAATTCACCTTCCCCACCACACACCCAAAAAAAAAAACAATTGGAGCTCTAAAGCATATGACCATGACCTTACCCCCAAGAAGTTGATATAAACCAATTATGTGAAGAAAAGTTTGTAATTTGCTAACCATAATTTAGTAGTTAAAGATCAACAACACAACCACCTTAGAGGATAGGTTTATATTGATGCAGCAAAATGTTCAATTCTGTAAGACAAAATGAAGGCCTAAAATTATATACATCTATATAATAAAGTATCTTATAATTTAAATTTCAAAAGATAAACAAAAAGACTTTTGTTATTCGCGGTTGTGATCGTTTTTAATTTTGCTTTAAAGTTAATCTAACGGCTAATATTAATATTCTAAATTTAACAGGAAAAATAGGCCTATAAGAGTGTGTTTGAAGTAATTTTTTAAAAGTACTTATATGAATTATTTTTCATAAGTGTTTAAAAAAAAAATAGTGTTTGAAACCACCCTACCACTACCTCTCCCATCACCGCTGCCACTACCATTGCCGCCGCCACTACCATTGCCGCCGCCACCATAGTCATTGTCACCCACCACAACCATCACCGTCTCCTACCATTCCCACTACAACTGATGCTTAAATTCATTTATTTTTCCTCTATGTTTGTACCTTTAGGCACAGACAATAACTAGTTCTTATGTATTGTATTACTTCCTAATAATATAAATTCAACTAATTCTCAGCTTATTTTTTAATCTTATTCTTCGCAATAATTCTAGAAAGAATCTCAAAGTCTACTGGACCTAGTAAAAATCTTGACAGCCATGTGCGAGCTGCTATAGTATATATTTCTCTTATTTTTCAGTTGGTTAATGAGAGAGTGCAAGGCTACAAGAAGGAGACTTTTTGTTTGTTTCCGTGCGTATACATGCTACAAAGTCCGAGATGAACATTCGCTTAGAAGAGCAAACTCTTCTTTTATAGTAGTGACATAACTTATCTACCGAGATTGCAAGTAAGTGAACCATTTCCTTCTGGAAAAAAAAGTAAGTGAACCATTTTAGACGATTTCTGTCTTCTTTGCTATTTTCACAATCTTTTGTTCTTATAGACAAAAACAATATTATTAAGCCTGGGAGAAAGAGTGAATCCCAGTGACAATAGGTCAAAAAAAAAAAAAAAAACGTTTTACTTTTAGAGAAAAAAAACATTTTTTTTTTGTTTTAAAAATTTTTAGTTTGGAAAAGATTAAAAAAAGCAAGGGAGTAACTGAAAAAATTATGCCAAACGGTCCTTGTATTATTGGTATAGTCAATATCGTACTAGTTGATACAAAAGAATTACTCAAATTATCCGTAAAAGAGATTAGTCAAGTAGAATAGAGGAATCCTTTAGCAACGAAATTGGTTTATACTATCAAATAAAGTAGTGTAAGTATGTGATTAAGAGTCACAAGGGGCAAAGGACTCAATACCCTATACAATCAACTCACTCTATATAGGATAAGTAGGTGATTAAGAGTCACAAGGGGCGAGGGACTCAATACCCTATGCAATCAACCCACTCTATATAGGATCAGTACCCAAGGAGGTTACTAATTTGCAAAGCATATTGATCAATTCTGTATAGTAAGTCACGGATTCACAAACCATTTTTTGATATCAAATGCAGACATGCTGTAGGTCTTCTGCCATTCGACAGTGCTGCATACTGAAGGAATTTACTTTTTTTGTTTTTTGGATGTTTGTGAAGAAAAGTTTGAATAACACTCACGTGACACTTCCTTAAGTTTTCAAATAATAGCAAGCTATGTAGATGTGACATAGAAGCTAGGCCTAGAGTGTTTGTCTTAATCCTACCAAAACAGCCAAGTATAAATATACATGTAACTATTTTGGGCCGGTGCAGTGCACAATGCTCTTTTCTACTCTGATGATATTGTGTAGCTACAACCAGCTTCACAACTAACCCCATTTTTTTTGTTTTACCCCCCCCCCCCCCCCCCTCCCCCCACTTTGTTTTTTAACCTTTTTTTTTTCTCTTTTCTTCCTTTTTCGTTGTTATTGCTAAATAAATATAAAAACAATCATCATGCAATGAATACAAGAGAATATTGAGGGCCTAAATTTATTTATTTGTATGACCGTCAAAGATGAGTAATCAAACTAAGACTTACGTTTTCAATTATTTAGGATTGGTTATATGATTATGTCTTCGCCATTCATTTCGATCATGCATTATACGTTTATTTAACTTAAATATTTTCTTTTTATTTTGTTTAATGTTATTTTAAATGAACCCCTATTTCTAGTACCATTAATAGACCTTAAAAGAGGAGCAAAAATCAAAATTCCCCAAGAATTAGTAAAGATGAGAAGTTACAAAATTTAGGAGACACGTATGAAGGCCAAAAGAGAAAACATGCATTATAAATACAGAATTCCATAGCCCTAACCACCACCCTTCTACTTTGCCTTTGCTTCCAAAGTTGTTTGAGGCATTGCTAGCAATGAAAGTTTCCACAGTACTATTAGTGCGAATTTGAAGCATACTTGTAGTAGTTGGTCTAGTCCAAATGGAGGTAAATGTTTTATTTCTTCTCCTTTTCATTAGAAAAATTGAATAGAAAAAAATGACTTAGTGTCCAGTGGAAGTTTGCCATCCCTTTAAAGGGAAAGCTAAGTTCTTTGGTTTGGTGATGGCTCAAGGACACCCGCAGTAGACATATGGCGGTAGCTTTTATCAATTTACTTATTGGAAAAAAAAAATTCTGTTAATCGCAGGACTTCTCCCTTGAGGAAGAATTTTTGTTCAATTTTCTGAAATTTTATTTTAGTGAGCTTAAGAACTTGAGTTTTGCTTGTTGGAGATCCATCTGCTAAGGACCATCCCAATGAAGGAAACAGTGGAATAAGTAATTTTGTTCCTGAGTTAATATGGATATGCTTGATGGTATTTGCCACTGGTCATATTCCAAGTATCTTTTTCAGTTTACAATTAACGTTTCCGAAATTCCTCTTGGTTGGTAATATAATCTCGTGGGTCCTCTACAATCTGAGATTGTGTTTTCCCAATGTTTTCTTCACCAATGGAAAAGTTATGAGTTCCACGCTTTTTTACCTTTCTCTTCGTTACTCCCTTCGTTCCTATATATCTGTTGTTTAAGGTTTTTACACAGGGATTAAAGAAGCTATTAAATAACTCTAATATGAGTAAAAAATAATTACACAAGACTAAAATACCTTTATTCAATACGTATTAGGAAGGAAAGGAATATGAAAGATACTTAGCCTCCAACTAATTTAATGCATTGAAAAGTTAAAGGTAAATTTAGAAGAAAAAATATTAATTATGCTTTGATTTCATTAAACAACAGATATTATGGAACAAAAAAAATTGTGTAAAATGACAAATATTTAGAAACGGAGGGAATAATACTTTTTGATTCAAGTATGGTTGGAGACTTTCTTTTTCATGTATGATCTTTCTATATCCTTTTACACTCTTTTAAAGTTCGCTTTTGTGTTTTGAAAATGCCCATTTTTGTCCTCGATATTGGTAAAATTAATTGGTTGCTATGCTACTTTTATAATATTTGGAGTTTTTACAGGTTCTTCCAACAAGTTTTCCTCCCTATCAGTGCTCCACAGGGGTACGACGGCATTATTTCTCGTGTTCACCAGCCAGTGCATGCTTTTTATGGCAGCTCTGTTTGAAGATTAAAGCAGACTCCTATGACGAGCGCATTGTTATTGGACTAGAAAAAACGAATCTGGTTTTTATTGGAGATGGTATGGATGTGACAAATATTACTTACAAATAGGAGCCATGACACAGGTTGGGCTACCTTTCAATCAGCCACAATAGGTATGTTTCATTCATGATAGTAGAAAGAATACTCTTATTCGCAGCACACATATATATGAATTGCATGTTGGTCAATAGGAAGAACAAACTGCCTGTGCATTCCCTGATCAGTATGCCATTATACGGGAAAAAGAATACTTTGGCATGAAAAAATATAATAGATATGCCTCACTTAAATAACACTATAAGCAGGGTCATTTCACAGTAGAATGTATCATCATCACCAAACTTTCGTTATCTTGAATAGAACTTATCGACTGAAATAATCTCCAATAGAGGCAACTAGATATAGTTTTGATTATATATGTTCCATAGAGAGGTCCATAAGATACTATTTACATTTTTTTTTTCGTATCAGATATCGATGGAGATGGCTTTATAGCAAAGTCCATAACCTTCATACACTCTACTGGACCAACAAATGGACAAGCTGTGGCAATGAAGTGCAGTGCTAGACTTTCTGCCTTCTGCAAATGTAGATTTGAAGGCTATCAAGACACACTTTATGTCTATAGTGGTATCCAATTCTATAAAGAATGCGGAATACTTGGAACCATTGCCATTATCTTTGAAGATGCCAAACTGGTTTTCCAAAACTGTGGCATTTATGTTCATAATCAGGCAAGGGGCAATCAAATGTGATAACTGCTCAAGGGAGGTATAGGGGTACAGTTTATACTGGGATACCCTTGCATAATTGCACAATCACAGCTTCAAAAGACTTCAATTCAAATTCAGGAACAAAAACATACCTTGACTGACCATGGTGGCCATTTTCCACAGTAGATCCATGAGGATGGCTCAAATGGGACAATAATACTTCTACGCTCTCCACACTCTATTATGGGGAATATCATAATAATGGCCCCAGAGCTAACACTGTACAATGAAAAGGGTAAATTAGATGGGATGTAGAGTCATGAGCCCTACTAATGCCGAAAAATTTATTAGTACTTCCTGCATTCTTAATATGTAATTGGCAAGCCTTTCTCAATTACACATTTCCAAACAAATGAGATTTGAATGAATCTGGTGGCCGATTTCAAACCTTTCTTAATAATACTGCCTTTAGTTAATAATAATGGCAGTGGCACCATCAAAGCAATGGATAGAGATGGCTTGGAGTTGGAAATCCTTGCTACTCTAAGAAAGCAAGCAGGCAAGTCAAAACTACATTTATTTATTGAGATGAACCAGCTATAGGATAACCAATGACTATTTATGATTAATTTCAGAAGGTAGACAATGTCTCCTGCTAGATCCGAGAGCTCGTGTAGAGCATCAGTTAATGGTGATTTGAGAGGTTTCCCAAAATTAGTACGGTCAGTACAACAACCTCAAAATCAGTCACACTTGATTTTATTAGGCTAGAGAAGATGATGGAAAGAGTAATCTAATCAGCGAAAATCATATCCACTAGCATGCGTTTGATATTCCTCCGAGCCCAATCAAATTGTTAAAGAAAAAAGAAACTGCCAAAATCTTGCTCGAATTAAGTTTAGGGAAATTCTGTGATACAAAAATATATAAAACTGAAATGTACACCTAATCACCAAATATTTAAGAGAATGAGGGCTTAATGAATGAAAAGTCTGAACTGCCATGTTTAACACAATGTTTCTGGGCCGGTTTGTAACATTGTTTCTGGGCCTCGGGCTTGTGATTGTCAGCTCACGCAGCCCACTGGCTGTCCCAAACCTGGCCCTCATATAAGCCCAGGCTGACTCTCACCTCAGTCATTCACCTCTCTCTCTCTCTTCCAAGTGTGTGATGGGACAGAGAGAGAGGATTGTACAGCATAAAGCCAGACTAAAATTCCAACAAGGTATGAAAACTTATTGTGGCATGTTTTGGTTTTTCATCTTTTTTGTGTGGCATCAATTTTTCGTAGTCTGATTATTTGTGCAATAGAGATTTTATTCAATTCTTTCTCACACGTCAAATCGAACAAAAAATATACCAAAAAGAGATAATTGAAGCAGAAAACATCTTGCTGTTTAATACAATTAGGCTTAATTACCACAAATATATTTGATGCATGCAGGTTATTGCCATCAATATATATATAGATGGTTCCATATTGTCAAAAACTTTGCAAAACCATGGGCACAGTGAAGTCCTTGCACGTGGAAGTCTCACTGGTGGCCTTCAGTTTGGCATTGGAGGCTCCTCCATCTTAATGGTGCCTTGTTCATGTTAATTGGGTGCTATCCTCCCTGAGCTTTTTCTGCTATCTCTTCTTCATCACACCTTCTATTTTTGTAAGACCGTTCTTTTTACCTTCTAATACCCCGCTTCGTTTCTTTTTTTCTTTTTTTGCTATTGTTTTACAAATACTATGTCTATTATCCTAAATGTAGGGATTTGTCAGTGAAAAGTCTATGTAACATTGCTCCTGAAATAATTCATTTCAAGACCCCTAAAAAAGCAGGGCATCTGATGACTCTTTGTCAATGTCCTTTCAATAATGATATGATGAACAAATTCTAAAATGATTACACATTAATGGCATAATCTTCACTCAACTACCTCTCCAGGAGGAAACAATTCATACTTGATAATGGAATTCGATCCTGAACGCAAATATTGTACATTCACATACTAAATGTTATATATATTATCAAAAAATATACATAAAATATTGTATATGACAACATAAATTATGTGCACATGCTCAAAAGCCGACCACGTTGGGCCTACAACCTGAGTTCATGAATCCCCATCATGAACAAGAAGCCCATTTCCCGTTATGAAATGAGGGAATGAAGAAAGAAAGTGTTTTCATACATATGCTAACTTACCATGCAAGCTTTTCTAAACGGACGGACCTTTGGACTTCTCGCAAAGTCAATCAAGTAATTACAACAATTACTACCCTCATAATTTTAGGACATGTCATATATGCAGTATCTTCTTTAATCCTGCAACAGAACTAATATGAAACACGTGATTCAAGTCCTAGCGGTCAATGGGGCCTGTATTGCACATGGGGTATTTCTGTGGGGCTTAAAACTACCAGGCCTAAGTGATGAGCGACAAAACATATTAGGGTTACCGTTTTGGTGGGCGAGTCTAGAACTGCCCCGAACTTCATCCATGGCATAATGCTGTTTGGACACATTTCTGCTTATTTTTCTCTTCTCTACCCGGAATTGTTATCATATGTTGCGGGCCGGCGGTTTATATTTAAAATATGACATCATAGATGTTAACTCCACACACAATTAAAAATTTTTAATTTTTTTTTAAGTCTCTCGTTTTGTAAATGAGTGAATTTGACATGACACGATTAATAAATGAATTGGGTATGAACGAAATTAAATAAAAAAAAAAATACATGACTCAAGTCATTTATATACCAATTATATATATATAATTGATACACAACTATATATCCGATATAACATGACTCATTACACACAAGTTAACAAATGAATCGAATATGGATAAAATATTTTTTTAAACGAACCCGTTAACATCGGACACAAACCCAAGTCACCCCACTCCATTCACAGGCATAAATTATTTGGCCAGTCCCCACATGGGTAAATATTTACTCCTGACAGGGACATTGAAGTCATTAAAATATATTACCACCATCATGTATTAATTATTGTCATAGCATTCTAATTATAAATTTATTTATATATTCCATGACTGTTAATCCAATCAACCATTGAATAGAATAACATTCTTTCAAAATGAATTCAATACTATAAAATCAACATCTTATTGCTGTCCGAGATGATTTCATCCTCTAGAAATATTGTTAATGAAAAGTCATGTTGACATTGCCTTTATTTGTACATATTTTTAGGGCCAAAATCATGTTGTCAACATCTATGAGTATTCTTTTCGACGTGACCTATCACAACACACCCCACAATGGCTCAAAGATTTTAAGTTGCATTATGTAAACAGTCTTAAAGTAGCTTAGACTTAGAGGAATCCGATGCACTGGGATATATAATTAACTAGAGATAACTCATGTTTGAAGGTACAGTACAATTTAAAAAAAATCGAGCATTAAACTCAGACACATACTAAACTGAAAACCTAAACTGCCCTCATAATCCGTGTCCACAAAATCTATGCAATTAAAAAAATATATTATTCTTTAACACGAAACAATTAAATACTAAACATAGACACACATCAATCTAATATTCTCTCTTTTTTTAAAAAAAATCGATAGTAAGGGTGATAAGACACCAATGGGAAAAAATTTTTTTGAGGGATTGAATATTAACCTTTAGATCAAGTTGGGCTAATCAGAACCGTTGTTTATGGGGTTAAACACAACAAGTGTTGATAAGTAACTGACACAAAACCTAGCCAATGTTATAAGAAATCCTAGCCAATGGTGCACATAATACATTAAGGAGACTAAATAAGTTTATAGGTTCTATAAATCCCAAAAACAAACAAATAGATAGTTTTCGTTCAAAATAGGAATCTGGAAATTTACAACTTAGTATACACAATTAATATGTTTTATCACTATACCTAAAAGGCTAGTAACCAACTTTTAAATTTTTACAATTCCCATGGAAAACAAATTCACAAACACCGAAGATTGGCTACTTTGCTCGTACCTCTATAGATGTTAGAGCATCATTCCTAACAGAATTAGCATGGAAAAGGCACTATTTCCATGCTAATGATTGAAGTCTAAATTTCATTACAACACATGCACACAAATCATCTCACTTTTCATTGGCATGCCACCAAGATTAAAAACATATCCAATCAATCATAAAAGGTCCCTACTACCTCTAGGTGTTGTGTTGCTTCTGAAATCAACCAAACTGTAGCGGTAGCTAATCCTAAAAACATATCCAAAGTAACATCAAAATGAATAAAGTATTAACAACACAAAACCACCACAAAGTAGAAATCTCCATACTATTGTAAACATCAAAACAATCTAATTACTTCTCTCACCTTGTAGTAATTGGTCAATAAATTTAGGATCACCGTAACATTATCATGATCTACGGACACCTTCAATTAAATTATGCAAAGGATCAAACACTTAGGATACACAAATCATCAACAAATAGTAATATAGTACATTGTGAATTTCTACTACATTGTGAATTTCAAAATTTTTGTATACCCATAAAAAGAGTGAATTTCAATTTGTACTGCTTTCAGTCTTTAGTATGTGCATTTAAGTACAACTTTCAAGCAAAAGAATAATAGCAATCAATACAAATCCAATTGCTTGGAAGTTGGAGTCTTTCAAATATATTCTCTTCCTCAAAACAACAAGAATTCTCTAGCTTGAAAGTTCTAATATGAGCTCTAGTTAAAGCAAAAGAAATGCAATTTCAAATCCACAAAATAACTTAATTTCGATAAAACTCAACAAAATTTAATTGAAACATAATTTCAATACATTATACCTACAAAAAATGGGTACACTGTAAATTCATACCAATTAAAAGAAAAAAGAATGGTGGAGTATACAATATTTCTCTTAGGCATTAACACAAACACTTGATGTACATTATGATTGACAGCAAATCAACACCTAGCTAACAACTGTTGTGTTTGTGGGTAGGTGGGTGTGTGTGTGCGCGCGTTAAGTTTATGTACTATAGGATATATGAAGAGGGCGAGACTGATAGAGAAATCACCACCAAACTCAGACTTAAAAGGAATAAGAAATTTATTGCTCAGTATTTATCTATGGCATTTCAACAAACAGTTCATGTGCCATATGGTTGGAGTTGTGGGGATGGTTGTCGTATGATGAAGGGGTGTGATCGTGGTGGTAGCCGAAGAGGAGGAAAGAGAGGGGGGGACAAAGGGAGAGAAAAATACCTGGAGAATGAGAGAAGAGCGGTGGTAGCGATTTGGCGTCGTTACTGGCGATGTCGCTG